ATTGATTTAAAGAGCCCATATTCTATGCTTTGTTTGAAAGTCAAAGTTTCTTGGACCATAAACAGACGCAATTTTTTTTTAAACAGGGTGCTTTTGCAACACGTTCTGACTCCCAACTTGTCACATATTGACGCTTGGTCAGGACCCCTTGGCGTCCCTTTTTGACGCCATTTTTCGACGTGCAGGGTCCTCCATTGCTTTTAGTGCTGTCAAACGATTAATCGCGATTAATCGCATCCAAAATAAAAGTTCTTGTTTACATAATATATATATATGTGTACTGTGTATATTTATTATGTATATGTAAATTGGGAGTGAGAACGTGTTGGACATTTAACATGCAGATTAGCTCTTTTATGATTGGCTAACCTCTTTGCATGAAAGAGGCGCATCAATAAAACTTCCAAGTTGTTGATTAGCCTTTTGATATTGCAGCTTAATTTCAATAATTGGTCTGAGGAAGGAGTGGCTATTTCAAAATAGTCCTGTTTTCCATGATATGCACTTTTAAAAACAGATCAAGAGGGGAATTTGGTATAATGAATCACAGCTGCTAATAGTGCTGTTTATTTGCACATTCTGTTCTCTCTGTGATAGAAAATCTGCTAAGTGCAATGCCAATTTCCAATCTTGCGGGTTGGTTCTGAGTGCTAAATTGTGGAAGATGATGCTGCACAGACCAAACTGTGACAGTCTGCGTGCATCACTCTACCGCTGCAATCCAGACACCATCCATCGGCTCTTTAAATGCTGAAAGTGCACTTGACGACATGCTGAATCTGGATATATGGCTGCTTGTAACTCTCTTCTCCATTATTTGATAAATTATCTGAGCCACGATCACTAGATATTTTTTTCACTGACTAATAGCACAGCATTAGCCGCACCAAGCAGAATACTGTAGTAAATACAAAACATTCTATATTAAGCCTAAGTTGCATAGAAAAGAGGCATGTTTACTCTGAAAGCAAACTTAATACTCATGGTGTAATGCTAATTTTAGTGCTTGCGAAAGCAGTTTCGTGTGCTGTTTGTTTGTGAATAGCACACATTTTTGTGCTTAACTTTGTCTAATAAAATATGTTATAAGAAGAAGCATTTTTATTGTTTCCATTAGGTTATGTTTTCTCAATATCACACACACACACACACACACACACACACACTTACCATGAACTATGTATAAATAATGTTTTTGTGTTAACAGCAGTGGTAGTAATAATACTTCGTTACAGTACTTAAGTATTTTTTGGGAGTATCTGTACTTTACTTGAGTTTTTATATTTCAGTCAACTTTTACTTCAGATATCAGCATGAACATTTAATAATCATTTATACAAGTTCAGTAAAGCAATAATTGGCTTACATTTTAGTTGCATAGAAAAGAGGCATGTTTACTCTGAAAGCAAACTTAATACTCATGGTGTAATGCTAATTTTAGTGCTTGCGAAAGCAGTTTCGTGTGCTGTTTGTTTGTGAATAGCACACATTTTTGTGCTTAACTTTGTCTAATAAAATATGTTATAAGAAGAAGCATTTTTATTGTTTCCATTAGGTTATAAAATCATTATTTCTGAATGTTTTCTCAATATTCTGAATATACAGATTTTTTTATTTTTTTTTAAGAGAACATTCTATTTGATTATTTTCCAAACATTATGGAAGCATTACTTTTGAATGTTCTCCGAAACAAGTCGCAACATTAACAAAAAAAAAAACATTGTACTTAAGTATTTTTTGGGAGTATCTGTACTTTACTTGAGTTTTTATATTTCAGTCAACTTTTACTTCAGATATCAGCATGAACATTTAATAATTATTTATACAAGTTCAGTAAAGCAATAACTGACTTACATTTTAGAAATAATATTGCTTGATTTTGCTCAATTTTGTACTGTACTTTTACTTGAGTATGGCTTTCAGGTACTTTATACACCACTGGTTAACAGTTTGAGAACATTCGTAGCTAACAAAAATATGTTTTACCAACGTTGTGCTAATGTTCTAAATACGAATGAAAGGAACTTTTTATTTAGATTTTTCTTTTTCTTTTCTTTTGTTCTCTGAACATTCTGAAACAAGTAGCAACATTAAAAAAAATGTTAGACGAATGTCTAACTAAAACATTTCTGAAAATAAAAACATTCCATGAATGATGTATGTTTTTGTGCTAACATTTTCAGAACATTCCCAATTAACAAAATATATTCTAAGAAATTTTGCTAACATTCCCAATTATGAAAAAGTTTTTTCTAAATGTTCTCACAATGATCAAAACATCCAGTTAAAAAAAAAAAAAGCTTTAAAAAATTTTTTTTTTTCTTGGTTATGTGATCGAGGGGAACATTCAATTTGATAATTTTGTGTACATTATGGGGACTTTTGCATGTTCTCTGAACCTTCTGAAGTTAAGTAATAACATTTAAAAAGCGTTAGATGAATGTCCAACTAAGATATTTCAGGGAAAAAAAAAAAAAAAAAAACTTTCCATGAATGTTGTGCAAGTAATTTTTTTTTTACCATTAATAAAGCGAATGTTAAGTTAACATTAGTGGAAGAACGTTTGTTCATAATTTTGAGAGAACCTTGCCAGTCCGTTGGCCAAAGTTCTGAGAATGTTATGTATTTAAAATTTGACAAAAGGCCACCGCTGTCAAGGTCACACAAATGTTACCAAACAACAACTATTTACTGTCATCAGAAACTGACTGGCTGAATGAAAAGACATGATGCCTGAAACAGCAATTAGATGATCTTCACAGTCCTCAGATACTCCTTTCAGTCTTTGTGTCTCAAAATCACCAAAACTGCTTTGAGTACAGATGGGCAGTCTTTGCTATGGGAGTCTGCTATTTATTTATTTTTTTGGGAGAAATGCTACAGATCGTAGCGTTCATCTTGTTCTTAGCACCATCAAAACAACAGAACATGTCAGACGACTGTGTCATTCCTGTTATTATTGCACATTCACACAAAACACAGAGAGTGTCTGTGTGATTTATGGATCGTCTCTCTCAGCTGGAATAAAGACAGTACAAGCATGAATGTGTTGAGCAACACGCTGGGTTAAAACCCTGAGAGCATGTATGGTCAAAAACAAAAATCACATTTTCATGCTCTATAATTTCAGTGCATTTAATACGCTGCGAATCACGCTCACAGATAATGAATGACCGTATTGTTTTATGCACACTACATCTGCTGCTTTTTAAAATCTGAAATGCACATGCAAGCGCATTGAAGTGAATCTCAGATCCAGTAATATTCAGCGCTAGAATTTGCATAAAGTAGAGTGGGAGGCCAGTGCAACTTCTTAATATGCAGGGTTAATTTATGCATAACATGGTCACACTTAGACTGCCGTAGAAACTCGATACAGCCCACACAAAGTGAAGAGAAAAGTGACCTTTAACACAGAAAGCCCTCAAAGAGACTGTTAGATAAATGAATAAAAGTAATATTTTACACACCTGCATGATTTAGACATACTGCAGTGATGTATAATGCAGCCAAAGGTAAGGGGGAGTTAAACCAGAACTTGCTCATAGCCAGATGTCAGCTTCTCTCACAGAAAACCTGGGGGAAAAAAGCACAGACTGTCATTGTCCCTCGCTGACTGGACACCTCATTTGCAAGCGTGAATCATCTGATTCTGATAAGGTTCTCACATATGGCAAATTCAAATGTCATTTTAGCTGAAATGAGAAAGTCTTGAGTTTCGATTCAAAGGTGGAAAAAACGAATCATCCTATCTATCTATCTATCTATCATATATATTTCAACGAGAAATCTCTCTCTATATATGATATGATTAAAGTGAAATATATATATACACAGTATATATATATATATATATATATATATATATATGATAGACAAGAAATATTTAAAATATATTGTCTATTTTATGAGAAAAAAATTCTATATATAATTACTACATGTATATAACATTTCAGTTTAATCATATATTTTTCTTGTCTATTTTATAAAAGCAAAAATATCTAAAAGCATGTAAATAAAATATAACTATACATCAATATAAAAAATATAACAGTACCGAAATTATTTTTTTAAGTAACATTTAGCACATTTCAAAATTCACTATAAATAATTTAAAACAGGAAAAGTCCACTATCAATTGACAAGTGTTGGGGTATTTTGACCAGATGGGCAAATCCAAATCCTAACATCTCAAACACTGTCTGGCTGATATTTCTGCCTATACTATTTGCATGCATGTATAAAATGCAAATCACTCAAGAGAATGGCAGTTCATACAGTATATGACTCAAACATTATAATGAGGTAGAGATAGAGTTGTCAGAAAGAAAGTACTCTCAAACCACAGAAACTGTGATTCTTATCTTTGTGTCTATAAATCATTTAAGGAACAAATCATGTGCCAATGTAGATGCCAATAAAACACAGTAATTAAACCTTGAGGAAGAGAGTCCCCTGAAAACTGAATAGAGCTTAAACATGTACTGTACACACACACACACACACACACACACACCTTTCACAATGAAATCAGACTGCTTTTAATTCAGTAAGCCTTATTTGAGCACTTGCTTACTGACGGTCTACAGTAATCATTTCAGTCTCATAAGAAATTAAATGAGCCAGAAAAACTAATTAATGGAGGTCAGAGCAGGCAAGAATTTCATTTCTGTTAGCTTTTATAAAGAGCAAAGTCCAAACTGCAGTCCTTCCTATCACAACAGGCTCCAGTTATTTTGTTAACATACAGCTTATGTAAACTCAAAAAAATTTTTTTAATTACCTCTTAACGGAACAACCAAATGCAGAGTAATCCAACAAACTCAGCAGTGCTATGAGGTGTTTTCTTTGCTAGTTCCTCTATTCAACTCTCACTCTCACCTGAAGCAGGAAAACAGGTGTTTCCTCTAAGGCTCCGCCCCCTCACAGCATTCCACCAATCACAGCTCGAGAGTCACAAACTCAGTGAAACTTGCTGCTGACCAGCCCATGTACACATGACATGTTTGATTTGTGATTCATTGCTTCTGTGTAGGAATTTGAGCTTTCGTTTCAGTGAACGTTTCCACTTGGATTATCTAATGTGAAATGTGTTCAAAGAATCACAGTAAGTAAATGGATCAAATCAGCCATTTTGGCTCAAACCATGTGATTGATTCAAACACAGTACGTTCACAGTAAAGCAGTGCTTCTCATCTGGATTAAAAACAATGGTAATTTCAAATAATACAATATAACTAGCTTTATAGTCATCCATAGTTAGGATATCATAAACGTTGACATTTAAAAGGGCAGATTCACATTTTTCTTGCTGGTTTTGAAACTGAAGGCCCTGCGTCCAATCACGCATGGCGTTTTGGTGCAGATATACCTGCCATTTGATAAGATGACTAATACTAATTCAATAGTAGTGCTTGTTCTGTGTGTCAACTTGATAAATCATACTCACTGTTTCTGGATTTACAAAACTGTGTAATTTTAATACAATTCATGTTATGTTTTTAAGGATAATTTTGTTTACAGTTTAGGCACTTTTCTAATGCAAAACCAATTGAGAACCATCTTATGTCACATGTGTTGCACATTGTATGATTGCTTGAGATTATTTTTGTTAGTTTTATTCACATTTATTTTTATATTAGGCCCAATAGGCCAATATGTGTCTGTTTATTTTGGAAATGAACAGAGGCTGATGTAAAAATGTAAACACTGCAGTGTTATTTCACGGGGGAATCAGATTGTTTGCTCGGCTCTGCTCAGACACTAATTATCACTACAAAACATGTACAATACTTGATTCTCCTTGCAGTCACTGTAGGCTATGGATGTGTGAACACACTCAGATGAAGTCTTCTGTCAGTCAGCAGCTCTTTTGATCATCGACGCCTCCTCAAACTCCCACAGCTACACACAGAGCCGTGGATATGCTGATATGATCACCCTGGCAACATCACGAGCCACTGAGGGCAAAAACACCAGGTTAGTGTAAATGTGTGCACAATTCAGAGTTTAGGAATCGGGTTTCATTCATGAGTGTGAATTGAATAAAAGTTTTTGCAGGGTTTTGTCTGTGCGCTTTTTTCCCCCCGCCTCTTTTGAATTTAGGGATCAGAATTTAGGAATCAGGTCTCGGTATGAATTTGAATTGAATTTCAAATTCAAAGTACCACAGGACAGAGAGAGTACCATGGTATAGGGTACCATATGTCAAAATTTGATTGATGACCCCTTATAAAATATATCCATATAAAAATTCCACAGATTCCTAAAGATTTTGCAAACTGTGTGTCCATAAACGGTAAAACAAGTCAAGACGGGTACAAAGTATTTATGTATTGTTAATTTTAGAAGCGGTAAAATTTCTAAAACAATGTGTCAGACATACTCGTGAGCATTAAACAATACCATACAGCAGTTGTTAATATGTAAAACATTTTACATCTTGTAACATTACAGTTTAAACAGTTGGTAGAGTTTATTACTGATACAAGTTTTTAGTAAAAAAAAAAGAAAAAGAGCCAAGTATCTTACGCTGTGCCGCGATATACATCCTCAAGGGCCAGCGACAGAAAATTGAAAGAGCTTAGATCTTATGCGTAAAACCACACACATATGCGCAGATGTTGTTAAATGTCTAATCATGATGAAAGAAAAATGTTTTATATCATGCTGCTGTACATTTAATTTGTACAAAATGTCAATAGAGCATTTAGGGAAATGAAATGTTTTTCTACCATGGTCCATAAAATGACATTTATTTTATTAAAATTAATTTAAAGGGGTCATATGATGTGATTTCAATTTCTCTTTGGAGTGTTACAAGCTCTTGGTGCATGAATGTGTTTTTTTAACCTTAAACCGCATAAACACATTTCATTACACCAAATACACCAAATAATGTTCTTTTTAGCAACATCATATGACCCCTTTAATTTAAATTAATGTTTATATTAAATCATATTTATATTAATGCAAATTAAAATATTTAATTTGATTAACATTAGGCAAGAAAAGTTTTTAAAGCACATTCCATGTAATTCAGTGCTTTACATAAAAAGGAATTAAAATAATTATCAAATAATCACAATAGATGAATAAGAAATAAAAACAGAGAATAAAAATTATTTAAAAAATGATTATAAATGTATTAAAACAGTTAATAAAAAAGAGGATACATTGAATATTAAATTAATATGAATTATTTAAAATACACTGCAAAAACATGATCAGTAAGTCATGACAGCTGTTTTTTTTTTTTTTTACATGAACAATTTCGATTTCAGTTTTTATAAGTCATATGAAACTTTTCTTTTCTTTTTTTTAAATGTACTTCAATGTAAGTTGAATTAACTTGCACAACCAAGTTGATTTAAGGCAGTAATTTTTGCTGGCACATGCAGCAATATACATCTTTTTGCTTTTTTATTTCAAAATGAATTGCACTAGAATTGGACTCTAAAAGGCATTCTGAATTCACTTCTATATAGTGCATGTCCCTGGTGCGGTTCAGGGATGCTGACTTGCCACAAATTGGCTCAATGGTGGTGTACATGACCAAAGTTCTGTTTTCGAGGTTCAGACTGATTCTTTGCTAACACAAAAACAATGTTCTTCTCATCTTACTTTCATGGCATGCTAGGAGATTTTTTTCCCCTTAGGCTTTGCTTCAAGACCGACAGCTGCTACACAGCTAATCGTTGAGATAGCGGCCGCTGATAATTGGTGCAGATTAGGAAATAAAGACCATTCGATGTAGTCTTCCCTGAAGACCTTGAGATATGAGCTTTAAGAATTCTTATCTCTCTTTTTCAAGTACAAATAAAGCATCTTGTTATGGTTTTCAATGAAGCGGTTCATGCAATGAACTCAGTCCATTATTAGTGAGAAAACATTGACACAAGATGAAAGGACGTCAGGCGACGTGATCGTACTTTACGGTTTTGTATATAGTGCGATACTTCGAAAATAACTCTGTTTTTTGTTTTGTTGTGCAGATGACTAATGAATGGCTTCATATAACATCTGACCTTGAAGATCTACCACAGTTCAAGACTGTACAGTACTTTCAATAATCTGTGATTAAGTGTCATACAGACACAGCAGCGACAGGAAATCTCAGAAACACGTTTTGTATATAGTGCGATGCTTCGAAAATAACTCTGTTTTTTGTTTCGTTGTGCAGATGACTAATGAATGGCTTCATATAACATCTGACCTTGAAGATCTACCACAGTTCAAGACCGTACAGTACTTTCAATAATCTGTGATTAAGTGTCATACAGACACAGCAGCGACAGGAAATCTCAGAAACACTTCAGCTCATGAGTCAGCTGGAGATGTATGACCCATTTTAACTCGTAAACATGATTTCATACACAACATATGGAGTATTTCCAGAAACACTAACACTAAATATATTTATTTCATATATTAGCTTATAGATATTTTGTAACTTTTAATAAATTAATGTTTGCTTTATGGACCATGGCGGAAAAACATTTTGTTTCCCAGAATGATCTAATTTGCTCTAATATTTAATGTCAATATTTATTTTTATTAAATTATCTGAAAACAGTTTGGTGGACATTTGTAGTGCTGACTGGTAACATCATAATTAAATAAGGAAGCTGCACTGAATAATTTGTTTTATTATTACACTGGTATTGGGATTTATACAGGCTCCCAGTGTAAATTATTTTTAAGAAACCAGGCAATGGCGAGTGAATAGAGAAAATATACTGTGCAAAAATGTGACCCTGGACCACAAAACCAGTCATAAGGGTCATTATTTTTTAAAAATTAAGATTTATACATCATCTGAACGCTGAATAAATAAGCTTTCCATTGATGTATGGTTTGTTAGGATCGGACAATATTTGGCCGAGATACAACTATTTGAAAATCTGGAATCTGAGGGTACAAAAAAAAATCTAAATATTGAGAAAATCACCTTTAAAGTTGTCCAAATGAAGTTCTTAGCAATGCATATTACTAACCAATAATTACATTTTGATATATTAACAATAGGAAATGTACAAAATATCTTCATGGAATACCTGTGCTACTTATGACTGGTTTTGTGGTCCAGGGTCACAAATAATTCTAACTGTCATGAGAAGAGTTTTTGTATTATTTTATATTATTATGTTTAGTAGAATATGTTTATCCTTATGACAATGGGATTCTTTTAGTTGTTTTTGCATGTGGCATAAAGCGTAGGTTAATATTTTTTGCTGCATGAGACAGTCTCTGTTTCTTGGTGAAACTGTGCCTTCCACGACTCATGGTGATTTTGTTCTCCTTATTTCTGTTTTAGTAGCTTAATGTGAGAAATACTCCACATATGTGTCTCCATACGGAGTTCTGGAGGAAAGAATTCATCCCAGAATATATCCTTGTGATGGTGGAAAACACATGGGTCATGAGTTGTTTTCTCGAGTTGATTTAGTCCCGTTCAGTGAGGGTCAGGCAAGCAATTAGATTTTTAATGTAATATGTTGCAGTTACCAGCTCAACCATTTCATTTACTCATCAAAGACAGGTGTAACTTGCTAAGTGTTCATTTTGGACCCTGCTGACACCTACTGGTGTGGATGCAGTGACACGCAAAAGTGTTTTTGGTTAACAATGCATTCACAGGCATATCTGACTCCTGAGATCTTAATGTATTAAGCTGAACGTGCGTGTATTATGTACTCCACTTTCCTGCAACACCTTGGCAAAAATGGGGAATGTTCACAGAACGTTCTGGCAAGGTTCTCTGCAAGGTTTTCTCAAAACATTAGCACAAAAATGTTATTTATACATTCATGTTCATGGAAAGTTTTTTTTTCCGAATTACGTTTTTTAAATGTTACTGCATGTTTTAGAACATTTTAAAGAACATTCCAAAGTACCATTCCCATGATGTTTGCAAAATGACAAAAATATAATGTTCCCTTACAACGTTTGGATAAAAAAAGGTTTAAAACATTTTAAAATCTGGATGTTTTGAACATTCAGAAGTAACGTTTTCATAACTTAATGGGAACATGAACGGAATGTTCTAGAACATGCTCTATTTTTCTTAGCTGGGACACACAGGAAGCAAGTTTGTATTCTTTATATTGAGCCAAAAGGACAACCTGTGACATTTCAATTCCCTGGCTGGTCAAAGGTCCTTTTACTACGCGATTTCGCAGGAACATAAAGTTTAATCGCACCTTAAAACGGCTGTTTCTAGGCAGCTGGTATGAGTCTTAATCATTTTAAACCGTGTTGTCAACAGCACCACACATTTCTCTAGAAGCAAAACATAGATAAAATGACATGGTACACCTTTAAATGGGCCTCCGCCTCCCATCCGAGTGTGATTCAGTCAGTGTGAAAGTGTTTTAACTTGAGTTATTGGGGTCACATGAGGTAAAGCACACGGGGAAACGCTGCGCTTGTCGCCCCGTGACTGCTTTCACTCAAATGCTAATGAAGTCTTTAGAAAGCGAGGCCGAGGTTATGTTCCTCATTGTGCCATTGAATGCAAATGCTGGATTGGACTGCTGCCACCTGTTGGCTCCCCTGATTGATTTCACGGAGTGCTGCGCTTTTGTTTATTTGAACCTTTGGTACTGAAGCGGAGAAGGTTGCTCGGTGGTTTCCTTCTGAAATTCCCCAGCTGGTCGGAAAGCTGCTCTTCTGAGTAATGAAATCTTGAATTGGACTTTTAAAATGAGAAATGTGAAACAAAAACTTTGGCAAAAGCGCAGTCACCTTAATAGGCGTGCTTTGTCATTACACTCCACACGATTTGACCGTTAGAATCGAATTTATGCTTCGTTTGATGTGCCTTTTGCGTAGAGCGAAACCGTATTCAGTTGCAGCTGTTCTGTTTTGGTCCGTGGTGTGAGTTTCTTAATAAGCAGAGTAATTTATCTTTGCCATCCGTAGATGGATGCAGTGACAGCTCAGCAGGATGCCTATTAGTAGGTTTGCTGTAGCGCTGCAGCACCAGCAATGTTAATGTTTCTGACATTATCTTGGCATTCTTACAGCCTGAAAAATGTAATACCTCCCTATAAACACGCAAAAAGCAAATATGCTTGGCAACATACTAAAACAATATGCAAAATAATATGAAAACCAAAATAATATGCAGTTTTGTGTGTTCATGAGCTCCTAACTGAACAGGACCTCCTCTGTTTACTCTACTACTAGATCTGCTTGAAGATGCTGGTCTCTGTGAAAGTCAGTGCTGGCGCCCTTCATCGTATGGTAATCATCCTCGCTTGCAAAAAGGAGGGACGGCAGCCAAACAGGACTGGATTTGATCTGCGTCCAGGGCTCTACTGATAACCCCATCTATCTTAGTTGATTTGGCAAAAATGGCCTCACTAATGACACCAGAGGGGGTGGCAAACCCACCACCTTGACAGATGTACATGTACAGTAAATGAACATACTTTCCAGAGGCCAACAATTCACTAAAAATGTTTTTTTTATTGAAGTATGAAGTTCTTATGAAGTATTCTAATTTGTTGAGATAGTGAATTGGTGGGTTTTTGTTAAATGTGAGCCAAAATCATCACAATTAAAAGAACCAAAGACTTAAACTACTTCAGTCTGTGTGCATTGAATTTATTTAATACACGAGTTTCACAATTTGAGTTGAATTACTGAAATAAATGAACTTTTCCTGACATTCTAATTTACTGAGATGCACCTGTATAATATAATACTGTATAATATAATATAATATAATATAATACATCTAAATGTGGGCAGAATCTTAATATCATTAACTTGGACTTTTAGACTAGATAAAAATGGAGAGAATAACGTGCACAATTTGAATGCTTTAAAGATCTTGACATTTTGCATGACACTTCCTATACATAAGTGCAATTCAAAATTAATTAGATTACACACTGTATAAGTCGTCTGGAATGGTGATGACATTATAATTTGTAGCTGCAAATGCCATTTTCTCTTGGGCGCAATTCACAGAAATAGAATAGCACTAGAACATAAGCAGGCATATTTTTAAAAGACTCTCCAGAAGTTATTCATTAGTCTTATCCTGCATTTGAAGAGGGTTCATTGTCAAAACGGTCACTTGTGTTTGGCTCCTCTGGTTCTCCTGTGAACTGTTTTAATCCCCACAGTGCCGTTCAGCCAGCGTACACTTATCATATTTGTCCAGCACAGGTGCCGGTTTCATAAAGCTGATTTACTGGCTCTGGACCGGCTCCGAGGAATTGAGCTTTGCTGAAAAGTGGCTCTAACCGTCTACAGCTGTTTTGGATGACACTCGCTTAATGTTGCTTTGGCCTCTGTTTAACCTTTTGATATTGGTGATTATAAATGTGGATATCAATTTATTAAGATTCTTCTTTGAAGGTAAACTATATAGTGCAGGGTGTCCAATAAAAATTCTTTGTGCGTTTGATATTCATATAAGGTAGCCAAAGTGTTTAATACGTGCACAGATCAGTTGAATGATCAAGTTTACCCTCTTTAACTTTATGCTGTTTTGTGTTCATCTGCTTCTCCCATTTGCTCTTTGTACATTGACTGTCACTCTATGTAGACTAATACAATCAAATACAACACGTTCTCAAATGTTTATTACAATATACACTTACAATTACATTCTCTTCAAGGGTATGAGATGACTAGATGCTTTCAACTGATTTCCTAGATCGGAACTTTGGAGCACAGATTGCGAATCATTTGATTCAGATCCTGACTTTAGAGTGCATATCGTGAATCATTTGATTCAGATCGTGACTTTCGGTGCGTTCCAAACGAGATATATCGCCTTTCGAAGGGCACTTCGGAGTGAAAACAATCATGGCCGCCATATTGAAGGGTCGTTCCAAACCGAAGTGCTCAAAACCGGCCACTTCTAAGGGCCCTTCGGAATGAAGGATTTCAAAGGGTACAACTGATGGACACTTCGGGCTCCCATGATCCTTTGCACAGATTCTTTGCATGATGACGGTGCCTCCGTGTGGGCATGTGATGATGACGCAGAAGGACACTTCAAGAAACAGTTGTTTGGTCCCCTACACCCTTCAACCCTTCGAAGCTCTCACTCCGGAGGGTAAACCCTTTGAAGGGATTAGGGCATAGGGATGAGCCCTTCCGAATGGAACGCAGGGCTTGGTGTGGGTTCGCGAATCATTTGATTCAGATCGTGACTTTAGTGTGGGTTCGCGAATCATTTGATTCAGATCGCGACTTCAGAGTGCATAGCGTGAATCATTTGATTCAGATCGTGTCTTTAGTGTGGGTTCGTGAATCATTTGATTCAGAACGGCACTTCGGAGCGCGTATTGTGAATAATTTGATTCAGATCAGAACTTCGGTGCGGATTCACGAATCATTTGATTCAGATCGCGACTTCAGAGTGCATAGCGTGAATCATTTGATTCAGATCGTGTCTTTAGTGTGGGTTCGTGAATCATTTGATTCAGAACGGCACTTCGGAGCGCGTATTGTGAATAATTTGATTCAGATCAGAACTTCGGTGCGGATTCACGAATCATTTGATTCAGATCGCGACTTCAGAGTGCATAGCGTGAATCATTTGATTCAGATCGTGTCTTTAGTGTGGGTTCGTGAATCATTTGATTCAGAACGGCACTTCGGAGCGCGTATTGTGAATAATTTGATTCAGATCAGAACTTCGGTGCGGGTTCATGAATCATTTGATTCAGCTCAGGACTTTGGAGTGCGTATCGCGAAACATTTTTTCTGATTTAATTTTTTTTATTAAACACTACAAAACATCAAACCGTAAAGGCAGTAAAGAGAAAGAAAGAAAGAATACACAAATGCAAATCCTTTGCAGTTGTCACTCTATATGTCCCAATAATATGTCTGATAATTAAATGCTTAGGTTTATGATCAGAGCTCTGCAGTTTCAAAACATTTAATGCAATGCAATACAATGATGACTGAGAGATGAACAAATAAACTTCAAAATCCTGATGACCATATTTGATACTCACATTTCAACATGATTTTTCTAAAAAAATGACGTATGGATAATCAATAAACCTACTTCATCCCAGTAAGTGTTCATCTTGAAATATTACTAAAAATACAAAAGTTATTCTTATGTTTATTTTATAAAAATCAGTAAAGTTTGCATAGCAAAAAGACACATGAACCACAAGCTAAATCCATAATTACAATTTTCACGCTAAAAGTCTTAGGCCTATATGCTAAAAAAAAGAATAATCTGTACTCTGTACTAGGGGTTGCACCGACTAATCGACTAGTCGACTTCAATGCTCTGCCATGACGCTTTAAGCTTGACGTTGACTAGTCGCTGGTCCTATAGAGGGCGCAACAGGATAAGAAATCTTTGAAGGACTTCCACATTTACGCTCCGTTTCCAAACAGTTCAAATGACAAATAAATGCATACTCTGAAAGCGCTCCACAAGATGTGTGATTATATTACTGGATGCTCGAAATTGAACAGGAGAATGCACGTTTTAAACAGCTTATTGTACAGGTAAATTAATCGCTGTTCTAATCTAATGCGCTGCTGCACTGTAACGCACACACAGATTACAGACAGTAGAGCGTACATCACGCGCACAGAATCATTCAGCGCGGAAATGTATTGTCAACACTGTTCTGTGATTTCTCAATAAAATAGCTTAGAAACTGAAAAAGTTCAAGCATATATTTCTTAATAACTAAATCCCACAGCTTCAGTACTAGTAGAGA